AAAAAAAAAAAAAAGCAAGTGTGGGTGCATGCACATGCGTGTGTGTGAGTGCGTGGGTGCGTGTACGTGTGTGTGCAAGGTGCACGCCCAGCAGGCTGCAGCGAGAGCCCTTCTCCCGGCGCGGAGGCCGGGGGTCGCGGTGCGATGTTGCTGCACCATCTTGCGGCCGCTGGGACACGGGCTCTTCTGGGCCAGGCAGAGCTGGGAGACCCTGCGCCGGGCCACCCGCCTCTGAGCCAGCCTTTCTAGCTCTGCTCGCAGGGACCGGGGAGCTGGGATCCTTGCTTTGGGCTGCGCTGGTTTTGCTGCCAGGCTGTGCACCTCTGCCAGCCCCTTCCCGCCTGCTGCCCAGCCGGAGGACCCGCAGCGAAGCGGGGGCTCTGTCTTGTGTGCGACACCAGCCGTGCCCTGGGCTGCCAGCCCCATGCTCCTGGGAGGAGGAACGCTGCACCCCCGGACAGCCTGTCCTGCCTGTCCTGCCCAGCCAACCTGCTGCCTTCCCTGCACAGGGACTGCCACCCTGCTGCGGCCATCTCCCAGGTAATGCCGGTGTGGCCAGTTCCAAGCCTGGACCGGGGATGCTGGGGCTGGCTGCAGCTTCACAAATCCTGGCACAGCTGCCACACTGCGTGGTCCATGGCCTGGGCAGGCTGGTGTCACTCCTACTGCAAGCACTCTGGCCTCTGCCACCCTGCAGCCTCTGCAGCAGCCTAGCACTGAGCGGGGACCTGGACGCATTTGGGATTGACATCGGAAAGGGGTAAGGCTGTTGAAAACATGCACTAGTTGGGAGTGTTTTTTAATTTTCCAGGAAATCCCAGAAGCACCAGCTGAACCTTAATGAGAACAGGTGAAAAACAAAGAAGAAATGCAATTAGTGCAATTATCCAGTGGGAAGCAATGGATGCATTTGTCATTTTAAGTCTTTGACATGGTGTTTCTTCCCACAAGACACCCTGTACCAGCCAGGAGCCCCAAGTGTCACTGTGGGGGGGTCTTTGGCTTGTGCTAAGTTGGAGGCAAGTGCAACACTCAGCCCCAGCCTTACCGCTGGTGAGGAGTGGGGCTGAGCCCAGAGCCCGGGTGTCAGCGTATCTGGCCACAGATGTTGTCCCTCTTAGAAGCTTAAACAAATGGCTTCAAAGCAGCACCTTTAGCTACATAAGCCACTTCCTGAGGAAGGAAACAGCTGGATATTTTTAATAGGAAAAGCTCTAAATAGAACTCCTTTCTGTTGTGTTGGTGAGGGCAGTGCATGGGAAGCTGGTGGAGATATGGGACTGCAGAGACCATCAGCTACAAAACAGGCTGGCCTGGAGATCTTCAGGTTTCCCTGGATGTGACTAGTCAAGTGGCGCCAGCAGATAACACCTAGAGGATACGTGCCTGCGTCCTCTCCGAGGGGTTTCTGTGATGGCCTCCCACGATGGGGGCACAGCTCTGCTGCCTGCTCCCCAGCCGTCCCTTATCTCCCCTCGCAGACCTGCGCCCTGACCTTGCACGAAACCAAGCCCTGCGCCTGGGCCACGGATAAAGAGCTGGCCAGGTGATGGGACCCCGTCTGGTGGCCTTGCTCCTCACACAGCGTGACTTGCTCCAGCCGCTGGACTCGTTCGCAAGCGCTCGGCCAAGTAAGTGATGCAAAACGCTTTTTTTTCTCTTTGAAATGTGCCGGGAGGGGCGGCTCTGGGGAACTGTTGATCATTTCCTTGTAGCAAGGAGCAGGAGAGGCTGCAGTGCTGTGAGCTGGGGCTGCACCTCCATGTCCCTGCACTCCTGGGGAGTGGAACAAGCAGAGGACTACACTGAGGTCCATTGCAGCGAGACAGGGTGAGGGAGGGTTTTAAAAGAGTTTTGCAGTTCAAGACTGTTTATTTTCATCCCCATGCACTCAGTCCAGCCATTCCCACCATTAACCCAATTGTGCTGCCCCTTTTGCACCTGCACCCCCAGCTCCTGCAACCAAGTCTCCCTGGGGAGAGGATGGGCAGGGATCAGCAGCGGCTTCTGCCCTGGAGAACTCCATGGGGCAGCTGGCACATACCTCACCTCCCATTGGTGTCCCTTCAAATCCAGTGGCTTCCAGCCTCCTGCATTTGCTGCTCTCAACATTTTTCAGCAATTAACTTTTCATAGTATATTTACCCCCCAGCATAAGTTTTTTTGCATGGTCAGCTTTGATGGACACCCAAGAAGCAACCCACAGCCCTTTCCCTTGCTCCCACCCAGGGCTGTGAATCACAAGCTGGAAACTATGGTCCCAGTACAATGCTCACGGCTGCTAGGTATTACAGAGTTCATCTGTGGACATTTCATAGTCTTTTAACAAGCCTTGCTCTAAAGCTTGGTTGCTGCTCACAAGCTAACCATTTCTGTCTGACAGAGCTGCATAACCAAGGCCAAAATATGATGTGATTAACAAGAATTCTGAAAAGGAGATGCTTAGAATCAATGTTTTAAATGACTCCCCTGAACTGAGAGAAGCACCAATGAAATAGCAAGTCCACCCAGCACAGTGTAGAAATTCTGAGTAAACAAGGTCATCTGGTCTTGGCTGGCTCCTGGGACCTTTTCCAGTCCCTCATTAGCAAGCACAGGGCTGATTGCTTCTGTTGTTGCATGAATGGGCTATTGCCCTGCTGAGTAACTGGACCTACTGGGGCAGCGCTAATGGGCAGCAGCACTTTGCCTTCTTCACCCAGACAGATGCTGAGCCTACAGCCCAAACGTGGGAGGAGGAGGGCTAGAGAACAGACTGTCCAGCCCTTGCCCCTCCTGGAGCGTCTCCCAGTGGCATGCCATGAGCTGGCTTGCTCTCTTCCTCCCCATTCCTCAGTACCGACGGCCGTGAACTCTTGTAAATGCAGTGTACGTTGGCTGGTACAATCTCTCTCTTTATCATAAAATGAGCTGTGATATCTGAATAGAAGAGTCCCAAGAGCTGAACAGCAACATAGTACATCAGCTGTGGACAGAGATTTTTTTTTTTTTGTTCTTCATAACTGATTTTTGAAACCTTTTTTTCAGGACAATGTACCAGAATTTCCTTTTCCTTTTCTTCCTCTCCTTCCATCCCCATAAATGCCAAGATCAAATCCTGGGTGATGATCCATATGAAATGCCCAAAGACTACCAGGAGGTCTACAGAGGGACAAAAAATGATGTCAAAGAGATCCCAAAGATTGCAAAGCCCTTCATTTCTGAGATTATCTTTGTGCAAACCAGCATCACTGCTATAAGGAAAGGTGCCTTTGGGTACATGCCTAACCTGATCAAAATTTTGTTTATTGGCAACAAGATCAAGACAGTTGAACCTGGAGCCTTTGATAATTTGCAGAAGCTGAGGGACTTGGAGATCTCTGGCGCCTCATTAGAAGAACTAGCTGTGGGCACTTTCCAAAACCTCCCAAACTTGCAGAGGCTGGAGCTGAGAGATAGCCACCTCAGATACATCCCCAAAGGTCTGTTTGATGGGCTGGAGAACTTGAGAGAGCTCTCCCTGCACATCAATGCAATCCCTTCTCTTCCAGAAGGCCTTTTTGATTCTCTCCTCAATCTAACCTTTTTGGACCTGGCTAGAAACAGGATCACAACTCTTCCTGGGGATGCCTTTAGCAAACTCCCCCAGCTGCAAGTCCTCCGGCTGTATGAGAATGAGTTGCAGGACCTCCCAGAGGGGCTGTTAGACAGTCAGCTGGGGCTGCTGGAGCTCAGTCTCCAGAGGAACAGGCTCAGGACATTGCCACCCATGCTCCTGAGGAGCCTGTCTCACCTGGAGAAACTCCTCTTGGACAACAATCTCATTGGGGTACTCCCACCTCAGGTCTTTTTTGGTTTAAACAAATTGAAGCTGCTGACTTTGGGTTCAAACCACATTACAGAGCTCCCCTGCTGCCTTTTTGACATCATGCCACACCTGTGGGAGCTGGACCTGGGCAGGAACAGTTTGGCCACACTTCCAGACGGCATCTTTGTCAACCTCACATCTCTCGGCAAACTCATCTTGTCCCACAACCAGATAGCAGCTCTACCAAAAGGAGCCTTCGCTGGGCTCAGCAAGCTCTCAGACCTTCAGCTGGACACAAATCAGCTCTCTGCTGTGGATGATGAGGTCTTTGTTTCTCTGCCAAATCTGAAAACCCTCAATCTTCGGAAGAACCAGCTGGAGAGTGTCCCCCGAGGGCTCCTGGACCCCCTGAAGAAGCTGAGCTCAGTGTATCTGAGTGGGAACCCATGGAGATGTGACTGCAACCTCTGCTACCTGCACAGCTGGATCCTGGACAACAGTGAGAAGGTCAAATTGTCCACCCAAGTGTCATGCAAGAGTCCACCCCACCTGACAGGGCAAGCGGTGACATCTCTG